TTGGTCCATTGCTTGTGGATTCCTACACTAGATCTCATATTATGAAGTGAGGATTTTTTTTTTTTTTTTTTTTTTTTTTTTTTTCCATTCTTTTAAATAAGAATGAGATTTGAAACTTGACATATTCAACATTGAGAATAGTTCCATTCTTGAGTTTGTTACAATCCCATATCAAAACACAACAGGCTTAGTTATTTATAAATCTTTTAAGTATTTTTACTTTATAAGTCAATTTTCAAGGGTGAATTCTATACAAATTCAGCTTTGTGATTCGAGCCACAAAACGATTGAATACTCATAAGTGAATGAACTCGCCAAAAAATGAAGTTTCTCCCCTCCTTAAAATTTATGTAATAAAGTTCTTCTTTAGATAAAAATATTATCATATGATCAATTTATGATAGTTCCACTATTAAGACATTACACTGAATTATTTAATTTTTATCGTCTCTGTTTTCTTAGACCAATATGAAAACTCACTCATTAGGAAACTCAACTAAAATGCGAACTCACACCCTAAAATAAAAATAATTTTTTTATTATGCTAAATGCCATAGTTAACAAATTTAAAATAAGTACATAGTTTTCATAAAAATGTAAAACTATGTGTTAACACGGTTTTAATTTTGTTAATTAATATTTTTAGAAAGTCATTAACTAAGGCTATGTAAAACTATGGCTTTTTTTTTTTTTTTTTGTTGCTATTTTAGTCACAAAAAGACAAAATATATTAAAAAGTCAATAAAACAAAATATCATATCAAAATTATAATTATTTTTATTTTTTTTCTCACAAAAATCGAAAAAGTCATCATAAATGAGATTTTTTCACTCCAAATTAAAAAAATTAAAATTTTTATCATCTCTATTTTCTTAGACCAATATGAAAACTCACTCATTAGGAAACTCAACTAAAATGCGAACTCAAACCCTAAAATAAAAAAATAATTTTTTTATTATGCTAAATGCCTTAGTTAACAAGTTTAAAATAAGTACATAGTTTTCATAAAAATATAAAACTATGTGTTAACATGGTTTTAATTTTGTCATTAATATTTTTAGAAAGTCATTAACTAAGGCTATGTAAAACTATGGCTTTTTTTTTTTTGTTGCTATTTTAGCCACAAAAAGATATAATAGATTAAAAAATTAATAAAACAAAATGTCATATCAAAACTATAATTATTTTATTTTTTTTCTCACAAAAGTTAAAAAAATCATCATAAATGAGATTTTTTCGCTCCAAGTTAAAGAAGTCAAAATGTCAAAAAGTCAACTCACATTTCAAACGAAGGCTAAACCTATTAAACACAGGGAAAAGAAAAGAAAAGAACCAATCATGCTTAGCTAGGTTTTGCATCATAAGTGTAAAATGGTGTTGGTCAAACAAATTGCTAGAAAAAGAAGAGAAAACGAGAAAGAAAAAGTCAAACAAGATGGGTAACTTGGTCATTTTAGTTGGAGTGGAAAATAAGGCTGTATGGGTGCATGTTGACATTTATTAACAATAAAGTCATGCCTTGTAAATGACAAAGTATGACATTTTATGTGTGTAAATAAATAAATAACTAATTAAATAAATATATTAACAATCAACATGACAACAAGTATACGCATGTTGTGGTTGGCTATTTGGTAACACAGAAAAACAAAGAGGCCGTAGACCGGGCGAATTGGGATCACTGCTGTGTTTGTTGTGTCTTATTTTATGGTGTATTATGAATTTATTTTTATAATCTGAATCGTTCATGTTATAGGGTTTGTTGAGTATTTCATGCCTATAAAAAATTATATTAATCGGATATCAATAAGTATATGATTGATAACCAAAAAATAAACAAGAAGTTTTTCTTTTGAAAAATAGTATAAAAATATGCAATTCGATCATATAGTTATTGAGACCCGATTAATATGATTTTTGATGGGCATGAAGTACTCAACAAATCTTACAAAATGAACGATTCAGATCATAAAAATAAGCCCATAATACATCTCAAAATAAAGTACAACACTCACTGCTGTGCCTTTGGCAGTGGCCGGTTAAAGCAGTACACATGCGATGCACGTGTCAAGATTTGTAGTTTATGAATAAAGAAATCGAATCGAAATGGTAAATGTTTGTTGATTTTTTAAATATTTGAATCAATTTAATTTTTTCACATTACAGTTTTTAAATTGATCAATTGTTAAAATATTATTGAAAAAAAATCAAAAAAGATTACAAAATTTTCATATTCACACCTAAAAAAACATTTACATGTATATTCTATTTGAAGTTTCTTTGATACTGATTTGATTAAACAAAGACATACCACCCCATACGGAGACTTTGTTACAAAGAGGTACCTTGTCTGTCTGCATATTTTATCTTCTACGACAAAGACTTGTGTAGTGGACAAAAGGGTATTGGTTTAATGAAAATACAATAATGCCATATTTTTATATTAAAAAAAAGAGAGGAAAGTGTCAAATTTTTTAATTTATAATACAAATTTAAACTTAATATGATGTGGGTCATATTAATAATTAATTTTATCCACATTTTAAAATTTTGGACATTTTTCTAAATGTTTTTTTGAATATATAAAATGAAAAAGGTTGAGTACACAAATTTTAAAGTTTGATTCTATGAAATTCCTCAGTGTACCTAACGCAACTAATATGGGGAGTGTTTGGTGGAAATTATTTTAAGTTAAAAGTTAATAAATAAAAAGTAGAAGTTAAAAGCATCCCTCCTCTCAGCTTATGAAAAATCAACTTTTTTTAATTTATTTAAACTATTTTTACCTAATAAGTTATAAGCATAAACTGTATCAAACAATCTGCCACCCCTGTAGAGTTGTTAATGGAATACAGTCAAGTACATAAATCAAAATTATAATCAAATAACAGATATACTATTATATATAACTTGTTCAACAATTCCAATCTAAAATTTATACAAATGTTGAAATGACAACAAATCTATTTCAATATTGCTCTTTTTAAAATTACATTATCAAATTTTGAATATCAGCTGTTTGTTTTGTATAATTTGAGATCTATCAAATCATTACCTATTTTGTGTTTTTGCGATTAAAATAGTCCCAAGCTCACATGCCAAGCATAATCATTATGTTTCGCATGTGAAATTATGACTATTTTAGCCATAAAATATAAAATAGATTAAAAAAATCAATAAGATAAAATATCACGTTCAAACCACAATCATTTTACTTTTTTTTCAAACAATTTTTTAGCCAAAGTTAAAATAATTAAAAAATTAAAAAATCAAAATGCCAACTCACTTCCCAAATGAAGGCAATATTAATTTGATCATCTAAACATTATTGCATCTATTTTGTTGATCTTTGGGAAACTGGTATGTTATATATTCATGCCATTAAAGACCTTCAAAAACCACACGTTAGGAAATTTTCAACTTTATTTATTCATTTTTCCACCAAACAAAATCTATAAAAGGAATAAAAAATTAAAACTATCTCTGTATTTTTATAGTCAGCTAAGTGAAGTAAGTTATAGCAATTCAATGTTAAATATAGTTCACATCAGGAATAACATGAACTGAGATCAAAGAAAAGTCCAAAAAAGAAATATTTTGAATAGTTAAAAAAAAAAAAAAATGGGGTCAAACTTCTCTCAAGTTGATCTGTTCCGCCTCATAAGACCAACAATAAATCGCTTTTAAAACTCTAAACTATTCATTTTATAAAGACTTCCATGTATAGCATTTAAAAAAAAATTATCATATTTATTTCTAAAAAATTGATGATCAATTTTTAAAAATGTACTTGTTATCTATTTTTTTTTAAAAAAAACAAATACAATAAAATAAATATGTTACAATTATTGAATTAACCTAATTTTTTTCATATTGAACTTGGAATGAGCTCCAACCCAAACAAATATAAAAGGAATAAATAGGTAGTTAGGAGTAACCAAACTTATTTACTACAAAATCAAACTCCAACTATAAATTTATTGTTGTAAATTAATATATATATATATATATATATTACAACTCAGTATCATAACTACTTACAATCCTACTTCAACCACTTACACTTCCCACAGGTTATCATATTTCAATACAAAATAACACAAATAAACTAAAATTAAATCAAAACTTAGAAAAGAGAAAATATCCAATCATTTATTACTTCAATAAATTTATTAGTATCATAACTAATACCAAATCATCATTCTGCAACACAAAACATATCTAAAAAAATTTCAAAAGTTAATCATTATCATTACCAAAAAGAGAGATAAATAAATCCACCCAACAAGACTTATATCTAATTATCCCAACAAATAAATAAATATTGCTACTCAGGTCTAAAAGTTAAACTCACTTTGTATACCCAGTGACATGTTAAAAAGAGGATTAATGGACACATTACTGGGTTTACAAAGTAAAATTTTACACACTTTGTAGACCCACTTTGTCAACCAATCTTCTTAACACATCACTGACTCTACAAAGTGGGTCTAAAAAATAAAATTTTACATCATTTTCCTAAATAATAACATGAGGCGATGAATGGGCCAAGCGAACATACCAATGTGTATCCATGTTAAGACTTAGAGCCACCGATTTAAAAGATAGCATTTGAGCCTAAATAAAACCTAGATAAAAACAATGGCGAAGCGTTTGGTAATCTATCAAAAAGTAGCTTTTTTTTTTTACATAGGAGCTGGCTTGGTAACAAACAGCTTTTTGCCTTAAGCCTGACCAACCAAACACGCCCAAGATTTTTCGATTTAAAAGTTCAAAAGCCTACTTTTACGGTGTGTTTGGTTGGAGGATTTGAGGAGGGATTTGGAAAGGAAAAAGGAAAAGTTAGGTGAAATGTGAACAAAATATACCTACATTTCACCTAGTTTCACACACCTTTTTCCTTTCCCTTTCTATTTCCCTTTTCCTTTCCAAATCCCTCCCCAAATCCCCCAATCAAACACAGCATTAGGCTGCTACCAAACAGAGTATTAGATGCTAGATTAGGCCATATACATCTCTGTTCTTTTGATTAAGACCAATTTTCTTCAATCAGTAACTGATTACTACACAACAAAAGTTTAAATCCTTTCTCCAAATAATTACAAAAACAATGACATCTCGGGAGATGGAATGAAGTTGAAAATACCTTCACCAAACAGTTCAAACAATGAGACCAGAAGACGGCCAGAGTTTAGGTCATCCTTCCAAGCCTGATTGAGAACAGCCGACATCTTCAAAGCTTGATCACCACCCCTGCTGCTGCTTACTCTACTTCCGCTGCTACCTGAAATGCCCTCGCTAGGGATCCTTCTAGAAGATGACGATGATGATGGGCCCGCTTCAGAATCACCCAAAGGTGCTGCAACTCCTAGGTCTCCTCGGATATCTGATGGCATGGAATTGTTAGACTGTATGACCATTGGGCCATCGGTAGCGACTTTCTTGTGGGGAGGCTGCTGCTCCAAGAGATCCGCATTTGCCTTGCGTTTATTGTCTTGATGGATTTTAAACAAGGAATCAAGATCAGCCCAGAAAATATTTAAATAAGTGAAAATTGAGTGTGAATAGTAGTATCATGGTGTATTCATTGCTTGGTTAGAGAAACATATATTTTCTGGAAGCCTATACCAAGTCTTTAGCCTAATGCCATTAAAGAGAACTCCTAGAATGAGAAGAGTCTGGCTGTTCCCTGAGAAAGCTATTCTGGTCATTTTGGAAGATAAGAATGTCCGATATTGACTTCAGAATTTTGATCAATCTTGACCCGAGCTGTAGCCTAAGCGGTCATGGGATACTAAGATGCCAATGAGGTGAGATTTCAAGTTTGAGTGAATGGAATAAATAAATCATTCTTACCCAATTTAGTTGAAAAAATTCTACAACTCAATGACGTCTTCATTGCTGGAAAATTCTTATTCTTCCTGTGCTTTTTACTTTCAAGATTTCTATTTTCTCAAACTTCTTATGCAACTGTGAACTGGAATGCTTTCTTGGCAAAGCTTGAGCCCTAACTGTTACAATATTGGTTAATCTTATATTTCAAAAGCGGATTTAAAAAAAAAGAAGCATATACTTGAAAAGTTCTTACTTGTCCAAGTCTCTACCGATTGGATAAGATTTATTGTACCACAACAAGATCAATAGTAATTTGACATCAGAAGTGAAGGATTCAACTGGTAGAACTTAGCGATTATTTGCATACTTTTTCTGTCACGATTTTCATCCAGTTCTCTTCTTATTTTAACATAATTTGTGTTAAAAAAAAATTATACTAAAATTTAAATTCTGCCCTAAAAACCAAGCACGCCATTTTTTATAGGACAAGACCCTGTAAAACAGTCAAATCTCGTCTACTCTAAGCCAAATCCATCAACAGACCTGAATACATCCTATGTATCTTCAATTCTTTTCTTTCTTTTTTTTTTTTTTTTAACCAAAAAAAAATAAAAATAAAAAGATCACTCAATTCTTATCATTCAATTCTTACTCTTACATGCCATATACGATATTATAAACAGCATTACCTTCACATCATAAATGGCACCGCTTCTGCTTGCCATGCCAGATCCATTTCATTATATCACTAGATGAGGATGCAACATTCTTCCACCAAACGATGATGCTTCAAAAGGAGGCCCTATTTGGTATGAATAACGATGGCACAACCCTTTGTAACAGTAAGGGAAAGAATGTGACGGGCAGCACAACCTCTAAATGTGTCTACATACCAAGCATACCTAGTCATGCATGTATTGCTTTTCTACTCCTAAAAGGCGTCATCTGAAAAACATCACTCACACAATCTAAAAGTATCCAACCAACAAATTCATTCAACTGCTGTAATACCTCAACCAGTGTGGTCCCTACCCAGTCAAAAACCCGTTTTCAAATGCATAGTTGTTTTATTTGATTGTTGATTGATATTTTGGTGGTTGATAAATGCTCATGACATGTAGAAATTGCAATTCAGACCCCATATGTACAAATGAGAAGTGGTATGGTGGTTAGGAAAACAAAAAGTATTCATAACACTCTTACTTGGCATTGCGGTAACAACTCTTCCATTGGTCCTCCAGACAGCATTTGGAGGCAGGGATGATAAATGGGGGAACAACTTCAGCCGATCATATATGCATTGACCTGAAGCACGCTGAAAGTGTTTGGTCTCATTACAAGGATTTCATACCTGTCTTTCATAATGATCATGCCATAAAACAATGCAGGAATCATGCCACAGAGTACACTCACCAGCAGAGCCCCATAAACACGCCAAGCTTCGTACCTCTTCATCTCATTCTTTTGCTTTTCTAGAAGCATCTCTGGTTCAAGAAGTTTCATATATGTCTCCAGATTTGGCAGAACAAGAAGGCGGACCTGCCCAGAGTCGCAAAATTGAAAAGCAATTACAAACTACTCAGAACTCCATTAGAAAAGTAGAAACAATATAGAATTAAACATAAGAATAAGTGAAACATATAGGGGGTGTTTGACAAGAGCTTTTTTTGGACTTTTTGGGCTAAAATCTACAAAAAGACAAAATAGGCTAAAATAGTCAATAAGACAAAATGTCACATCAAACCCATAATTATTTCACTTTTTCTCTCACAAACATCCCATTCAACTACAAAAAAATCCAACTATCTTCTCAAACACAATAATTTTAGCCTACTAAAATAGCTAAAAACTAAAATAGCCTACTAAAATAGCAACTTTCCAAACACCCACATAATAACAGTTGAAAATGAATAGATGGATGCATATTCATAAGGGATCTATTAGGATTTTTTAAGTGTTGGCTGTCAGGCTACCTAATGCACAACCCTCCTTATCCAGACTAGAGATGGCTATGTAAAAGAGAAAGCACTAAGCACGACACAGGCAGAGTTTGAAAATAAATAGCAGAAAGAACAAAAATTCCATTACAAAAACACCGGATAAAAGAAAAGGAGAGAGGACAAGAGAGAGGTAAAAAGCATAAGAGTTAACAACAGTGTAAATTGTCTCTTAATTTCTTTTACTCTGCTTTGGTTCAAAAAAGAAGGGGAACTTTTAGTTAAACAGTTTGTCTTTTCACATGATTGAAGATAAAAGTAAAAATGAAAAGATATGACAAAAAATCTTTAAATAATATAGATTGAAAATATTTCCAAACTAGAAACTCAGAGAAATGAAGGAAGATGAACAAAAACTTTGAAGTGTTCCATTCTCTAGACAAACATTTCGTTACCTTCCTTGTACAACTGACTGATGAAAACTTTAAAAATCAACTCACTATTACAGATTTCAACATGAAAAACAATGAATCTAATTAATATTGAGAAATACCAATATAGCTGTAATCAACATTTTATACAATATAAAAACAAGGCCTGCGAAACAAATTTTCTCTTTTTAAAACTGAACTCACAACTCCACACTCAAATTATAATTCTAAAATTAAATCAAACGGAGCCAAGTAGTTTCCAACATGTATTCAATAATAATAAGATGCCTCAAGAAGCATGAATGCAGGGAGTACCACATTAGGTCCTAGAGCTGCCAACCCCTGTATAGCACCATAGTGTTGAGTCATTGCCCTTTTTGGGTCCAAGAGTGTGTGGACCAAAGTCTTTGTCAAGCGTGTCTGGAGATTATTATAAACATGCCCAAATCTGCAATAGTCATAAATTAGAAATCCAATAATAAAGAAAAAAAATTAAAATAAGATCTCTGAAGGGAAATACTTAATATATAAAAATAAATAAAAAGATATCCGAGCGGAAAGCAACGTGAAATGTATTGAAAAACTCTTTTTTTATTCAGTTTATTTTTCCCCAATATTTGCAAGGTAGGCATTCAATGAACCAGATGGACAGGAAAGCTGTTTAACTGGGGTTTCATTCAGGTCAGGCTTGTGTATCATTTACTATTATTAATATCTAGAAGGTGACTAATCAAAAATAATAATATCTAGAAGATGACTGACGACTCCAGTCAATCTACAATTTGAACCAATTATCATTTGGTTTGCACAAGATTTGTACACTGACTGAATTTAGACCATGTTTGGATGGCAAGAATGGAGAGGCGGAATGGAAATCTCATTCCCAATCTCTTTCATTCCAATTTTTGCGTGCGTCCAAGAATGGGAATGTGATTCCTAGTTCAGTTTTAAGGTGGAGTGACGTTAACACACTAAGTAGGAATCCTATTCGCCCATCCCAATAGGAATCTCACATTCTTGGAGGAATGTAACATAATTAAGAATAAAACAAGTAGATTGGCCTACAATATATAACATTATATCATATTCCTGTACCCCTAACATTCTTGTATTATTACTAATAATGCGATTCCAGGCAATAGGATTCCCATTCCTTTTTTATGTCTACCATCCAAACACAGCCTTGGTGTCATCCGGGTTACAAGTCAGTATTACAAGGTTAAACCTAAAACCTTATCATGTGAAACTTCATTAATTGCTGAAATCTGCATAACGTTTGAAGGAAGTCAAAATTGATATTATCAGTGGAAATACATATGTTCCAGGGCAGGTGGGAAGAGTAACGACAGCAGAAGATAAAATAAAAGAAATTATAAGAACCTCTTGCAAATTGAAGCAACCAAGTTTGCTGTGAAGTCTCTAAGTTCCCAGTGGTTGTCAGCAAATCGGTTCCCTAATCTCTTTGCAACAAGGCAGGTAACAACCGATGGCATCAACTGGTGTAGCTGAGAAAGAAAAGACTGCCTAATTAGATATACACCTACTGCCAGACCAAAGCATGCCAAATGTGCAATTTACTGTAGACCCTACTAATGGTCATCATGTAACCGATGGCATCAACAGACTTACATAAGGTTCTATGTGTATGTGCGGATTCTGGAGAAGGCTCCCAACAAGACGCATCAGAGCAAACAACAGATGGAAATTGTTTAAACCACGGGAAACCTGATATTACTCAAAAACAAATTAATAATAATAAATATAGTGGAATGAGCAAGAAAATGCTACAAAATTTCAAATGTTTTATCTGAAATATTTAGCCTCCAAAATACCTCATCGGCAATAAAGTAGGTAAAATAAGGAACTAAAGGATGAAGTCCTGAGTCTGTTGCCAAACTCTCCAAGGCTTCCTTGAAAAGGACCGAGTCAGACCTAGTCACAGCAAGGTCGGTGATTTTATCGAAGTATAGCTGTACCAGAAAGAAGTATAATTAAATAATTTCATAATAGGAGAAGAGGAGCAAACAAACACATGTATCTGTGTGGAAAAAAATAGTAAAGCATATACCTGAAGCTCCCTAGACAATACATGTTTAACAGGTAATTTAATGTCGACAGGAAGATCATCTTTCTGCTCAGGTTTTTTGTTATCAGAAGGAGCAGCAATAACTACAATTGCACAATCATTTCAAATATAAGCACCTCTTTATGGGCTCTAGTAGCTACAAAATGGAAGGGGTTCAAGTAAATAAGATCTAGTAGTGATTGAATCCTTCTAGTCTTCCAAATAAGAAAAATGTTTTCATATATTCTGTATGTCCAATTGAACTTTTAAGTTATGTATAGACCTTCCACAGGAGCATTTTCTGGAATAGCAGGTTGTACACCTTCAATAGCCAGCCAGTGACAAACAATTGAAGTATCAAGTGGTGCTTTTGGCAAAGGCGCTTCAATCACCTACATGTCAAAATTTAAGGAAAAAAATCAATCAATAAATAAATAAATAAGAAAAGAAACATGGAAAAATGATCCAGCCAAATTAAGACAGTCGGCATAAAAAGCAATCTCTTACATCTTTAAAATCCAAATCCTTGTCATCAATGTAAAACAAATCCTTGTGTCCAACAGCTCTTTTGAACCGTAAAGGATCCCCGGAGGCAAATCCATAAATTGGCTGAGTCAAAAATAGTGGCCAGAATATTAGACACTCAGATTAGAAACACTAAACTTTTACAAAAAGGAAAAGTAAAAATAACGAAAGAAAATATAAGGAAAAGGGAAATTTCAATATTGCCACATAAAAGCTTTTTTTTTTAAGCAAATCAGAGTCATCATCTAGATATTCCACATCACATGCATTGAGCAGTGGCAAGCTATAAGCAAATATATTTTAGCCATGCAAAGGTCAACCAGAACTGTCAACTAAGTTGGTTAACCAGAATTAAGGTAGGACACCTTGATTGTAATTTAGTCATTCTAATCAGAAATAATCACTTAAATTGCAAATTGACTGTAATTTAGTCGTTCTTGTTTCTACTTGTGAAGATTAAGCCAAAACTGAAGAATCCTGGTTGTTCCCTATCAACCATGCAATGGTAATTATGGTCAACCATGGCTATTTAAGCACAATCCTATAGGAATATAAATAGAACATAGGAATTAACACAGTGCAAAGCTATAGCATTGAATATTTTTGAAATGGAATTACCTCAACATTTCTTAAGCTGAGTGCGCTATCAACATCATCTGTTGTCAACATTTCTTAGCATTGAATATATATATATTAATTATGGGTCCTTGTGAATATTGACTTGATGTTGTGTAAGATAACTCTTCACAGTTTTCTTCAAATGAAAGTAGAAAATTTAGGAGCCCTTTCACAAAATAAAACGTATCTGTACATAATGCAATAAGGGAAACTGATGACCACAATATTCGAAAAAATAATTAAAAAACATGTAAGAAAAATACCTATATTCACAATGCTCAGGCCATGCACAACGAACTTTTCCATAATCCCAATAACAGTCATCTTCCCTCAAAGGTCACGCTTAGCTGTTCCATGTAAAATTTAAGAGGTAAAACAATTTAATGAAACAAAAAGAACTAAAGGTCAATCAGAACTGTCAACTAAGTTGGTCAACCAGAATTAAGGTAGGACACCTTGATTGTAAATTAGTCATTCTAATGAGAAATAATCACTTAAATTGCAAATTGACTGTAATTTAGTTGTTCTTGTTTCTACTTGTGAAGATTAAGCCAAAACTGAAGAATCCTGGTGGTTCCCTATCAACCATGCAATGGTAATTGTGGTCAAACATGGCTATTTAAGCACAATCCTATAGGAATATAAATGGAACATAGGAATTAACAGTGTAAAGCTATAGCATTGAATGTTTTTGAAATGGAATCACCTCAACGTTTCTTAAGTTGAGTGCGCTATCAACATCATCTGTTGTCAACATAGTTCTCTTTGAATGATGCATGCATTTGATTGCCTCCTGCAGAGTTTCACAACAAAAAGTATTATTAAGTCCCACCATCTGTGCATGAAAAATGACATAGAGAGAAAGAGAGAGATTATGTTAATCATTCTTTATTTATTATTTTTTTTTCATATATATATATATATATATTAATTATGGGTCCTTGTGAATATTGACTTGATATTGTGTAAGATAACTCTTCACAGTTTTCTTCAAATGAAAGTAGAAAATTTAGGAGCTCTTTCACAAAATAAAATTATAGGGCAGATTAGTGGTATTGCAAACTTTGAGCAGCTAAAATTTTTAGAATTAAAGATGTTTTTCATTCTATGTTAAAATTTAAAATCACAATGGATTAAACTTATCAACTATTCAGCATAGTCAGCAACACTCTGCTTGAAATTTTAAGTGGTAGCTAATGTACATTACCAAATGCGGTTATGAATATATCACTAAAATCTCAGTTAAAAGCACTTAATGGGTTTACAAAAAGAACCATACTCAAATACAAAGGAAAATGTTCTTCCATTATACATTCATAAACATAGACATTATATTATAATTATTTTTTTGATTTTAATGATAGGGTATCCAGGTGAACCTCAACTAATCCCAAGATCCATGCAAAGCACCCCTCCACGCAGGTCAGGCGAATCTCAAGCGTGGCCCCTAAGAGATTGATAGCACTCAATAAGAGTCAAACCTTAACTTGATACTTCATGAGGCACCAAGGGCCAAGTGACTGACCACCAAGCCAACATCTAGTGGCTGTGGCATAGTTTTCAGTGTGTGTCAAAGAAGTATTGGAATGTCCCAAATGCATTGGAATTTGGCAATAAGCATATTATCCTAAAAGGCTTCCTTATCTCATTTGAATAACTAACTAGCAATTGCACATCGGTATGTGCTTATTGAAGACTTTAATGCACTTGAATGGCATTTCCACTACATATTGCAGCACTTCATTCAATACCTAGTTGTATCAAAATCCTTTGATGGCAAACCATGTACGAGACTAAAAACATGACAATTAACTCATTAAACCATGACAACGACAATGACAATTAACCATGAAAACTACAATGACAATTAAACCATGACCGTTAACTCATTAAACCATGAAAATAAACTCAAAATTTAATGTCATCTGGCATACTCTAAACAATGCATTACTGTCATGTTTCAAAATAAACTACAGAAAAGCATGATGGTGCAGCACTGCCAGCACATTCAAATTACCTGCATTATTTCACGCATACGGTACTCCACATCAGGAGCAAGAGCAAGTGCAACATCTGGAGATAGGCTATTAATCCCAATGCTTTGCGCTATGACCTCAATAGTCTCCTTCGGCACAATACTCATTTTATTCTCTCTAAAGCTATTTCAGAAATCAAGCACCTCTTACATTCACACAATTCTGTAACAAAAAACAATTGGTGTGTTAAGTTGTAAAGTACCCTAATTGGAAGCCTCCCTTAAGCATGACTGCCTGAGATAGGATTCACCATTGTTTGAGCCTATGAAACACGGACACGGACATGGGAATTTCCAAAACATGGGGACACTGACACAGTGGGGGACACGACAATTTTTTTTTTATATATATTTTTATGTGTTATGTAGATTCATATTACATTCATCCTAAATCAAAATTAACAAACACTAAAATAGTAACATTAATTCAATAAATATAACCACTACATTTAAACAAATTAATAGATCATCCATTCACAAAAAAGTCATCCACAGTGGCTTATCATCTTCAGCATCAAAGCCAGATGGTGTGTTATTGGTAGAATTTGAACTAGACATTTTTCCTATAAATTATAATCATTATAAATTAACATTAACATTAACATTAGAGGGGGAAAAAAATTACATACTCTGTATATATATATAAACTTATAATTTTTTTTTAAAAAAAATACAATTTTAGAGATATAGATACATATATATAAACATATATACAGAGACAGAGCATGAGAAACAGAGAGAGAGAACGAGAGCAAGAGAGAAAGAGAAACAGAGAGAGCGAGCGAGCGAGAGAGAGAGAGAGGGGGGGGCTTACCTTCGAAGTCTTCGATCGACTGGATGGAGGTGGATCGACTGGTTCAATGGATCGGGGTCTTCGATCGACTGGATGGAGGTGGATCTACTGGTTCGATGGATGGGGGTACACAATTTTATACATCGTTGCCCTTTTTTTTTTATTTTTGAATATTACACCCAAATAAATATAATAAAATTAAAAATGAAGCCACCATCTGATATGCGTGTCCCTATTGTGTCTCCTACATTAAAAAAAAAAAAAAATCATTAAATTAAAAAAAAAAAAAAAAAAAAAATTCATTAAATTAATTTATAATGATGTCAATGCACTTAAATTCAATCACACAGTCGCCCTGTTTTGTACAATTTTTTTCAGTTTATTTCAATTTTTAGTTTAATTTAAGTTATTTTGATGTGTTTGGCTTAGTTTAACAATGCAACTTATACCTTTTTGTAAGTCAGAAATCAGATTATTCTTTGAGTGGGACAGGAGAAACTTAGGCCAAGTTTGGCATCTACTAAATAATACAAAAAGTCAAAAAGTCATTATCCTATTTAAGTCACATCATCTTATTTAAATCACATCACCTCTCTAATACATCACATCAAACCCAACCCAAACTCAACCCATATAAGCCAATAAGTCAAAAAGTGTACTTTTTTAGAACATCCAAAACCAACCCTTAATTTATAAGTCAGAAATCAGTTTATATTCATAGTTATAAGCTATAAGCTCTTAACGCATAAGCTATAAGTACTTTCACACAACTCTACCAAACAGGGCCATTATATTTATTAAAAAAACTAGTATGTTTGGGATGACTTTTTGACTTTTTACGAAAAAATGTGCAAAAAGTAGATTTTTAATTCTTCAATCCGGAACCGAACCGCGGATTTAAAAAACCAATCCAAACCTATCGGATTGGACTGGACTGGATCGGATTACGGATTTCACGGATTGCTTGCTCAGCCCTACTTTTAGTGGTCTCAAGTATTTTTGCAAATTCAATCACACATTATATCTATTAAATAAGTGCATTGACATCATTATAAATTGAAATTTTTTGTGTATAAATTAAAATTTTTTTTGAATAAATTCAATCACACATCACTATATGTGAATTTCAATCAAATCAATAAAGATAAAAGTCTAGATCTCAAAAAAATATATTTTTTAATATAATTAATTAATTAGTGGGTCGGACTGGCCCCGATTGAAAAATATAAATCTCAAGTCCAGTCTAGCTTATTATTATATCGAACTGAAAATGTTAGCCCATCCTGGCCTTATAAGCTAAAATAACATTCCCATGACCTAAAAAAATAGGACTGGGCCTAGCGAGATGGGTAGGGCAATGTGACATATCTACTCCTAAATTTGAAGAGATAGACAAATAGCGTGAATTCAATAGATAGTTGTCATTTTGGACAAATTGTATTATGTTGACTCAAAGATATTAGAACTTAAATTTGGGCCTCAAAAGATTTAGTTCTTTTGGACAAATTGTGTCCTGTTGACTCAAAGATATTAGAACTTAGGCATCGTTTGGGAACAGACTAATTTAGTAACTTTTTAGCTATTTAACTAAAATATGAGCTAAAAAAAACTAGTATGTTTGGGATGACTTTTTGATTTTTTACGAAAAGATGTGCAAAAGTAGAGAGAAAAGAGAATCTTTGACTTTTTGGTATAAGTTGTTGGCTTTTTAGCTAATTTTTAGTAATTTTTTGACTTTTTAACTAAAATAGAGAGTTCCCAAACGAGGCCTTAAACTTAATGGCCCAAAAGATTAAGAAATGAGCTTATGGCCTGAATTCTCTATTTTTTCTTTTAATTTAATTTTTCTAATTTTTTAAAATTTCAATACTCAACTTTTTGTGATTGGTTATCATTGATGCAAAAAAGTCAAAAACAAATTTCAAAATTGGTCCTTCAAGAATTTTGATCTATGAAACATGAGTTATACAAACATATCATACTCGTACCAGGTATTGGTATATTGTATTGTACTTATGCATATGTACCAAATACATGAAATATGTACTCAAATTTTTTCTTATTAATGTTTGAGTTACTGAGACGTACCTAGTACATAAATGCAAGTCGTATAGTATCTCAATTGAAATAGTATTTTCTTCTAATACAGAGATAAAATTGATTTCATTTGACTTTTTTTTTGTTTTTATTTTTATGCTTAGTATGATTTTAAAATTAAATTATGATTTTTAAAATGACATTTAATTTTAATTTATACCTTTACGTTTGACATTAAATGTGAATTGTAGGTTGGATTTTAACAAATTAAACCATTTAACAAATTTTTGCATTACGCCCAATTATAATAAATATATTTTTTTTACAAACGTACCTAGCTGTACCCATAACCATGCCCTACTTTTTAAAATTTTTTACCATACTATACACGAAATATGTACTCAAATTTTTTCTTATTAATTTTTGAGTTACTGAGACGTACTCAGCACATAAATGCAAGTCGTATAGTACCTCAATCGAAATAGTATTTTCTTCTAATACAGAGGTAAAATTAATTTAATTTGACTTCTTTTTTTGTTTTTATTTTTATGCTTAGTATGATTTTAAAATTAAACTACGATTTTTAAGTTATTTAATATAATGACATTTAATTTTAGTTTATACCTCTACGTTTGACATTAAATGTGAATTGTAGGTTGAATTTTAACAAATTAAACCATTTAACAAATTTTTGAATTACTCCAAATTAAAATAAATATATATTTTTTACAAACGTACCTAGCTGTACTCATACCCATGCCCTACATTTTAAAAAATTGTACCGTATCGATATACACATATCGTACCAGTATTTGTACCCATACTCGTGCTTCATAAATTTTGATTTATGGTAATTATAATATGTTTACTTATTAGATTAAGATTTTTCATTTGGAATTGTGATTTCAGATCTTATTTACCAACTCATTCAATTTTTTGTAGTTTCAGATTTTATCTTGCGATTTTCAGTAGTCTACTTGCAATCAAGAATTATAGATAATTGAATATGATATGAGTTGTACTTGTAAAAATTGCTTCAAATTTTCATGCGAATTTCAGTAGTCTACTTGCAATTAAGAGTTGTAGATAACTGAATATGATATGAGTTATGTTTACAAAAGTTGATGAAATTGTTAGATTTCATTCTTTTGATACCAAATTTTTTAAATCTTTGTAGTAATTTTTTTTTTTTCCTTCATATTTTAGTCTATGTAATAATTACATTCAATATACTTTTTGTTGATATTAGAAAAAATAAAAAAATTATGAATACTTATAATTTCATTAACAACATTTTGTTTGGTGTGATATATAAAGGCCTCAATTTCAAGGTTCACTTAGGGCTCAAAAAGGTCAAGGGTTCGTCCTGAATGGTTCCCTCTTTTCTCATTCATCTTTTCTTACTATTGTGGGTGTGTTTCTTCTTCAACAGCGGACTTTAAGAAAGCATTGGTGGAAGCAGTGGAGTTAGATAGCTGCGGTAGTCTACAGACAATGGTAATGGCGTTGGCAGGTTTGAGAGCTTTACTTTGATTCAAGTTTTGTTTTTTCAAATCACATCTGTGAGGCATTGATGGTTTTTCCAAAATCGCAGTTGATTCTTTTCGGCAACTTTTGTAGCTTTTGTAAAATCTCATGTTTGACCCTTTTAAGATCTTGTTATTTTTATTTTCTTGAGTTGTATGATGTTTACTTTTATTTTAATATAACTACATTGTAGCTTTTCTCAAAATATTATATATATCTATTCTAATATATAAACTGGTGGTGATGAGACATTTATGTCTCATATTTTGAGTTTTTCTAAAAATATTATATATATATTCTAATATACAAAGTAATGGCTCCTGATGGTGAAAGAGACAAGACTTGAAACCAAAATCATTGGTTTGGCAAAATAAGTCATTACCATTTGAATAACACATAATATATATGCATATTTCTTTATTATTATTTTTATACTATTGCGTTATTTTGAATCGTACATGCATTGCGTGTGTGGCTTGCTAGTGTACATATATACTAGCAATATACATGTGCTATGCACGACATAAAACATATATTTATTAAGAATAAATTTTTCTTAGAATTGCCTTTGGAAGCCGAAATGTAGTTTTAAATTAAAAAATGTTAGAAAATCACATCCATGTGATATTATATAAAAAATTTGATAATTTTTTTAAGGTCTTTAATATTACTCATTTAGATTTTACACTTAAAAAAAATTACTTACACGAAGGTGGTGTTTGATAATCTAATTCAGTACTTAAAACTGAATATAGTAAGTGCTAATCAATTAAGATCGTTTGATAACTACCATTGATATCCCTTAAAAACTTCAGAATATAACCTAAAAGTTAATAAATTTTTAAGTGATATGAAACTTACTTAATTATAACTGAATTTATAAATACTAAACGTAAAGTATCGACATGCTCAAATCAAAATATATATATTAACATACACTATTATAAACTCACTACCAGTGCCACCTCCACTACTACTACCACCACTTTCATCACCAATGTCATTGTTACCAAAAGTACCACTATTATTTCACTACCACTATTATATCATCATCACAATCGCCACTGCCATTACTATCACTACTACAACAACCACTACAACTCTTCACTTACACAACTATTGTCACTGTTGTCACAACCACCACCATCGTCACCACCTTCTTTTTTTTTCTTTTTTTTTTATTTTAATTTTTACAATATTATCCTTCTACCATCATCACAATCATTATCCATTAATCTCTACCACTATTGACACTGGTGCTGTATCTAATGTCGACGTTGCCTCCTCTATCACTATCAACTCACAATCACAATATAAAAATTATAAGATATACAGTTTGAATAAATTTTTTAAAATTTGGTCTTATACATGTCCAACAATTTGTTTTAGTTCAACATTAATTTCTTGTTGAATAAATTTTGAACTTAAAAAATTCATCATTAAGTTTTCAATACTTAATTTTTCAATTTTCAGTTTTTAATTTTATCAAATACCGCATAAGTCATAATAAATTTTTTAAAAAATTTAAGAGGGAAATAAATTTATAGTTTTTTTTTTAATATCGGAAAGTTATTGTTAAAAAATGGTTAATTATTATACATATTTTTAAATTGC